ACATTATGAAACTTCACCCCTAATGTTTCTCCTAAAAACAAGGACATTTTCCTACATAACTACAATTCCATTATCATACTTAAGAAATTTAACATGGGTATATTACCTAATACACAGGACATGTTCAAATATCTCCAATTGTCCCCCCAAATTTATTTATAGCTATTTTTTAAAATTCAAGATCTAGCTAAGGATCATGTCTTGCATTTGATTATGTCTTGTTAGCACCTTTTAATATAGGAGAATCTCTCTGCCTTTCATGGCATTTGGCATTTATGAAAGCACATGGCCAATTGTCATGTAGAATGCCCTACAAAGATTTAGATTTTTCTGATTGTTTCCTCGTGATTAGATTCAAGTTGGAAAGACTGTTATACAGGTGATGTGGTATCCATCAGATCAGGAGGCATATAATGTTTGACCTATTTTTGGTGATACTAAGTTTGGTCATTTGATTAAGGTTGTGATTGCCAGATCTCTCCATTGTAAAGGTGCCTTTTCCCTTTGTAATTAATAAGTAATCTATGGAGAGAGATTTGGAGGCCACATTGTATTCCTCAACAAACTCACCTAGTGCCATCTATTAACGATCTTTGCCCCAATTATTTATTACGTTAGTGATTAGAAAATACTGATTTCCTAATTCTATCATTCCTTCTACACTTGGCATTTTCTTTTCACCCTAAACAGGTTCAGCCATATAATGAAGGATTCATCAAAATTTCTCTGAGTATGTGAACATACCTTTCATGAAGGTTCTGAAACTGCCCCTAAAGGAAGCTGTGGCAAAGACTCTCATGGACCATGGCAACCTCTCCTTCCCTGGCACTAGGCTAGACTACATGCTCAGACCCCCTGGTAGTAAGATGCTCTCCAATGGAATGTGATTGGAAGGGATGTGTGTCACTCCCAGGCCTAGGCCTTAGGATGGTGGATGCACTCCTTCCATGCTTTTTTTCCACTTACTAATTAGAACCCACGGTCACGTGGCCTTGACCTTGAAGGTGACAATGCCTTAGAGGAGAGGATCAGAAAACTATAACCACCACAGGTCAAATCAGACCCAATGCCTGTTTTTGTAAATAAACTTTATTGGAACATGGCCATGTTCACTCATGTACATGTTGTCTATAGCTGCTTTCACACAATAAACGGTAGCGTTGAGTAGTTTGGACAGAGATTGGCCCACAAAGCCTAAAATATTTATTGTCTGGCCATTTATAGTAAAGTTTGCCAACCCCTGCTCTACTATATAGTAGTATATAGTAGTCACTCCTTAAGTGAGAACTGTTAACTCTTCCATTAATAGACCCCTTTACTTCCATCACCAAATATATTTAGATACATTTATCTTCTTAAAAACACTGACCCTAATACCTCCAGTTCTTTCCTTTTTTAGCTGCAAAACTTCTGAAAACACGTGATCTAGTATACAAATTCCAATATCTTGTTTCCAGCCTTCCCCAACCAGTCCGCTTTGCACATGAATGAATCTTTCTGAAACACTATTGTAATTCCAAACTGCCTTGCTCAAGATCTCCCACTGTCTCCCTACTGCCTGATATCAAATCTATTGGCTCTTAACTTTCCAGACCCAATAGCAGACCTCTCCTCCCCAAATCAAACTTAGCTCCACCCCTATCTGACAACCAGAGCTGGGACTAGGGTGAGATAAGTAAGATACTTCAAGCACAAAACTTAGGTGGGCATCAAAAAACTCAGTAATCGAGATAATATTTTAATGCAATATTTTTTAAAGTCAAAATTAACGCAAAAAGACCTATGAACAACAAAATATCCAAACTGTAAAGTCTTTCAGAATTAACTTCCACCTGTTCTGTCCCTCCACCCAAGTTCACAGGTTCTTTGACATGAAAAGATGGTAATCGCTCAAGACAGCTGACCAGTTGTCCTCTGTCTGCCTCAGTGAAACCCACAGATCTCAAGACCATTCTGAATCTCCAGCACACAGCCTCCAGCGGTGATGGAATCTTAGCTTTAGCTAATGAATATATGTTTTGGCTTTAAGGTATGTGGCTGATTCTGGAGCCACAGCAACTTTCCAGGTCTTATCATTTTCCATTAGCAGCAGAATCTCTTGAAATTTAATATATCTCCATGTTGCCATTGGTTGGCTGTTCTTACACCCAGGGTTCCCTTTACCATTTCACTGCATAGCAAGAGGTCTCCATGTGACAAAGGAGTCTCATATTTAGTTAACAACTTTGTGTTAGTCAAATAAAGATGCCAAAGACACAGTCTTCACTGTCAAGGAATCTACCTACAGTCTAGCGGGAAAGGTACTCAGATCAGTGTTGCTCATAAAGGAATAAACATGTCAGAGAAGAGGTTCAGAGATGGCAGCAATGCCACCAAATCAGGCCAATCAGAGGAGGTGGCCTTCAGCTGAGCCTTAAAGTATTTTAAGGAATGGGGGAAGTGAGCAGGAGTCGGGGAAGAAGGGTGGGTGTATTTAAGGAGAGAGAAAAGTGAAACAAAAGACAAGAGGAGAAGAAAAAGCTTTTTGTACAGTTGCTGCCAAAGAGAAAAGCTGAGGGTCTAGCACGGGCCTTCTCTGAGCATTGTGTATTTGGGCTTACAATGTTAGAGTTCCATTTCCACCACCATAGGGCCCATTATTTGGCTAATGGTATTTGTCTCATCACAATACAAATAATTTTCAAAAGGTGCTAAGTGTTGCCTCTCCTCCCTCATTCTTTCACTCGACCAGGTTGGGCAGGAACCTGCTAATTAGCCATGTCTTCCACAGCAAGTGGTAGAGGGCCATTTGCCTTCTAACACCTGACCTCATGAAGTTAAGAGCTGCTGTTTCTCTGTTTCTCCAGTAAAGAAATTTCAAACTAAGACAGCAGCTGGACAGATTTTTTTTTTTTTTTTTTTTTTTGGATAGAGACTTCCAGTGAAAGTATTTGGCCTTGAAAATCTTTATCTACAAATAATGAACTTGGCTGGGTAGAATTTTTTTTGAGGAACAGTCACATTAACAGCTGTACACTTACCACGTTCTCAAATCCCAGCTTAGAGACCCCACACTCCCTCCCGGCAGCAAGCAGTTATAGTCACAGGGTACAGCTTAAAAGATGCTGTTGTGTCCTGAAAGCCATCCTTGGGGACGGAGGCACATGCTGTTGCCAGAACCCTCCTGAGTATACCTGTGTACAGAATGCTCCAGCCTGCTCCCAGGAGGCCCTGGGGATGACAGAACTTTGTGTTCTGACAATGTTCAGCCACCCATGATGTTGTTCTCCCTAGTAAACACCCCTCTTCCCCAGAGCCTAAATCCTTGTAATGCGGAGCTAACGAAGCTCTCCACACCCTCAGCCTTCACCTCCTGCAGTAGTTGACACCTAGCTCCACCTGTCCCTCAAGGTCTTGGCTTCTCCACAGCTCTCTCCAGTGCAAGGTGTTCATTTTCTCACACTTCATGAGCTCAGGGTCAGGAAGTAGAGTCACCAGCCTCCCTGCTCGCTAAGGCCACATTCACCCATTTCTCCTCTACTCTCTGAGGTCTGAGCCATACCAAAGCCCATGCCCACTTTCATCCTGGTTACTCCCCTTACACACTAAAGACTTTGGCTATTGGCTCACAGTCTTCTCTCCACTTGACTGCCATCACCATCCTGGGTGGCCTTTGCAGTCGATCTGTCGCACACCCTGAGCCCTCTGTCCCTTGACTTCATCTCCAAAGACCTTCCTCTCCACTCCAATTTAGCCACACCTTCAATGGACAGAACCTCTTCCTGACACCAGGAACTCAGACATCATACTCCCTTATCATAATTTCCCATCCTTCTGGCCCATTCATCCAGTTATTGGCAAGGCTTCCTCAGCCTCAAATCCATTCACTCTTCCACTTCTCTCTACCAGCCCTTTTGGCCTCATGTCTTTCACTACCTATCCAGCTTGACCTGCTTGTTCCATCTCTTCACTCATTCAACTCTTCGAAATCACCATTGTTTTTCTGAACCCCAAACTAGATGAGTCCAACAGCCATTTATTTTCTGAACATACCCCAAGGTGGAGTGAAGCACACAGCTTAGGCGATTGGGGCCTCCAGATCAATGGGAACCCACCTTAGCTGGGCCCTCTATACTGCCAACAAGTTCTCTGTCTTCGTCCCATGGGGCCCATGTTGGGGAGCACAGAGCTCCTCTGGCCTAACCCCAATCCTTCCATTCTTTCCAGCTCTTTGAGGTCCTGGAGCCACATTTCTTTCTCTCTTCCTCCTGTATGGGCAACCTCTCCCCATCCCAGAAACTTCCAACAGCATCTAAACAGATGAAAGTACTCTAGTCTCTCTAACTTGAAAAATAAATTAGCCCTCTCTTGAACGCATTTCCCTCCAGCTGCTGCCCCATGTCTCCCCCACCCCGCCCCGGGTTCACAAACAGATATCTACACTTCCTGCCTCCATCTCCCTACTTCCTTACACCTGATGGTGCTGTCATCTGGCTCTCACAGGGCCACCAGTGAGTACTATTCAGTGTTGCTCTGACACAGCTGACCCTCTCTCTGTCCCTGCATTTCTGTGACATCGCACTCCTATTGTCCACCTGCATCTCATTTCCCTCCTCCCAAGAACCCTGAGGTTGAAGCTCCTCGAATCTTTTACAGGGCCTCTGCTCTCAGAACTTCAACTCCCATCAAACATTAATGCCTCACAAATCTACATCTCCAGACAGGTTCATCCAAATGCCTCCAAGAATTCACTCAGATGCTGCAAAGACTACTTAATGTCAACATGGTCTGAGCCAAGTTACCTTCTCTTCAACTCACTTCTTTTTGTCCCTCTTCTCCGCGAATGGCAGCCCCATCCGGAGCAGACCTGGTCCAGCATATAAAAATCAATATTTGTTGAATGAATAAATGAATCCTTGTTCCTCCCTCATTCTTCACAGCCAGTCACAAAAACCTGTCAATTTTATCTCTGCTTTTTTTTTTTTTTAAAATTTAATTGAGGCTGGCTGCCTCCTACTCACCTTTGGAAAGGCTTCCAAGACCCCTTAGCTCTGGCGGGACAGGGATCTTGCCCGGTGTTCCCACAGCCCATCACTGCAGTGCCACAGCCCAGATCACAATGCACTGTCCAGTCGGCCCTGGTCTGTGACATCCGCACGGCACTGGGAGCTCCATCTCCAAAAGCGCCCACCGCCAAGCACACAGGAGGCGCTCGAAGGGAGTGAATGAAAGGAGCACTGAGTGAAAGGGCCACAGGGGGGAGCCCGCGGCTGGGCCTAGCGCCCACAGGCCGACGCCCACCTCCCCATAACACGCGATGCTCCTGGCGGCCAATGGAAACAAAGCGCCCTGCAGAGAGTCCCGCCTCTCCTCTGCGAACCAATTGTAGCGGCCTCCGCCCGCCGCCCGAGGTCCGGATGCACAACGCGAGCTCCTCTTCCCACGTCGGCTGTCCCGGCGAGCGCAACCTCGGCTCCTGTCGCGCCCAACGAAAGGATGTTGGGGACTCGGGGCGTCCGGCGCGGCCTGGAGTGGCTACTGGGGCTCTTCTTCCTCTTCCACATCCCCATCACCCTGCTCTTGGACCTGCAGGTTGTGCTGCCGCGCGAACTCTACCCCTTCGAGGTGAGGGCGCCCGTCGGCCCTGGCCGCCAGTGGCAAAGTTTGAGGCCTCTCCGCGCGCTGCGATTGTGCCTTGGTGTCCCAATGGCTTTTCTTTCTCTCCCGCCTTCCTTAGGTCCTGCTGGTGATCCAGCTCCTCCTTACCCTTCAACTCGAGGGTTTTGTCTATCCCAGACCCTTCCCCCAAGCTGCTGGGGACAAAACACTGTCCATTGTAAAAACACTTCTTCCCTGGGTGTGTTTAAGGCTCTTACACCCCACCTCTGGTCAGTTGTCAGTATTTGAGGGAAGTGTCCTAGATGAACCAGTGTCTAAATCACGTTGAATGTTTTATCATTGTGTTTCTTGGAAGAACTTTAAAATACCATCTAATCCCGAAAAAATAATTCAAGTAGAATTAGACCTGTCCTAGGGGCATTCGCAGATGGTCATTACTTCATTCAAGATCAGGATCCACCAACTTCAAAAGCTCAGAAGTAAATTAACAGCTTTTCAGATCATCCCTTTTAATTGGGTTCTAGTAAGAATGATCACCTGAGTAGAAATAGAGGTGAAAAGCCTTATTTTCTTGGTGGTTGGAAAGCATTCTTTACCTCAAACTTTCCTTTAATGCTTTATATTTTAGAATATTATTTCCTGAGTCTTTTCATGTATGGACCCTGTGTAACTTCCATGGAATTCATGTCCTCAGTTCTGTTTCTCCATTCTGTCTGTACCTGCCAACAGAACCACAGACTGACTTTGTCAACCTATAGATTTGATTTTGCCTGTTTCTTTTCAAGTGCTTTTTATTTTTTTATTTGTTTTTTACATTTTATTATTTTATTTTTCCCCTCCCCTCTCCCCTCTGGTAACCGCTAGTCCATTGTCCATGCCCATGAGACTCTGTCCTGTTTCAAATGCTTTTTCTTAACCTGAGGTCCATGAACCCTTGATGGTGTATGCAAAATTGTGTATGCCTAGTGTTTTCTGAAAGGAGAGTCTATAGCTTCCATCAATTTTTCCAGGAGTCTGACCCTACCAGAAAGGTAAAGAGCCATTATTCTACAATGTACTCCCACTCCACAGCCTTTTTTTGTTTGCTTCTAAATTGAAGCATAACCGGGAAGACCTCTGACCTAACTTTTCTTGGGAAGAGCATAGGTAGTGTGTGACTAGAGCACTGGACTGCAGACTTGGATTGGGTTATTCCCAGATTTGCATGAGTGTCATGGGCAAGTCAGGACTTTGTAGTCTCAGTTGTCAAGACAGAGTTGGATTGAATTATAAACTCAAGCAAATACAGGGTGTATTTGAGTTGGGTTGACTTATAAGCTAAAGCATATACAGTGTATTTCTTTCCTGTTACTGCTGTAACAAATTACCAAAAACATAGTGGTTTAAAACAACATAAATTTATTCCTTACAGTTCTGGAATTCAGAAGTTCAGAATGAATCTTGCTAGGGCTGATCCCTTCTGAAAGTCTTAGGAGAGGATCTGTTCCTTGCCTCTTCAGTTTCTGGTAGCTGCCAGTGTTCCTTGGCTTGTGGTTACGTCACTTTAATCTCCACTTCTGGCATCACTTTGCTGCCTTTTCTTCTATAGTCTAATCTCCTTCTGCTCTACTTTTATAAGGACACTTGTGATTACATTTAGGGCTCACCAAATAACCCAGGATAATCTCTCCATCTCAAGATCCTTAATCGCATCTGCAAAGTCTCTTTTGCCAAGTAAGGTTACACATTCCAGGATCCGGGGATTAGGATGTGGACATCTTTGGGGGGCATTATTCAGCCTACCACACAGGCCCAGGTAGTACATACTTTTTCTAAATAGGTTGTCAAAGCTCTGCATTTAGCCATTAGTTGCCTTGAAGAAAGGAGAGCCATGTCTGTGGTTTTCAAAGTCCGTGTGGCCAGCAAAACTCAGGCAGGCTGCCTGTTTATAATCTGTAAGGTTATGAATTCCTTTAATACTGGGCAGATATTAGACTATAGTAACATATCTGTTACTCCAGGTTATTCCAGACTTAACAGCTGTTATTTTATCCTTTCTGAATGTGCCATTCCCACAAATCCTTGCTACCACTCACAAAATACAATTAAAATATGTCCAGCATCATAAAGTTCCTGTTTAAAATTATGTATTTGATTTGGTAAAGCTTTCTCAGCTTTACTTAATGTCAGCTTGTTCTAAGAAGTCAAGGGCCAATGCAAGCAGGATCTGATGGGGGGGGGAGGGAGGGAGAGAGAGAGAGAGAGAGAGAGAGAGAGAGGAGAGAGAGAGTGAGTGTGTGTGTGTGTGTGTGTGTGTGTGTGTGTCTCTGATTTGAAGGCATTAGGAACATGGACATGCTGGCTTGGAAGGCCTGTGTCTCTAGTCACTCTTGTTGCCCTAGAGTGATGACTGATGGTTTTCTTGGTTCTCTTTGGGGAAAATAATAATTTTAAAAGCCTTGAGTTAGTCTCAGATTCTCTTTGAAAACATGCCAAAATTTAACCTCTGTTGTTTCTTCCCTCAAATAGAAGGACATTTCCCCAAGAACTAAAAAGCTTGTGGAGATCACATAACGTTGGGGCTAAAATTTGCAGATTAAATATTTTTCTTGGTTTGCGCCACTTGGAAAAACTCTTACTATGAAACAGTAAGAATTTTGTTTGGGTTAGAACATGGAAAGGATGAGAAGATTAGAACATGGGAGCTGGGTAGCATTACTTCTGTTAAAATAAGGAAAAACAGGTAAGCATCTAGGTCTGAAATCAGTCTGTGCAAAATCGTTCAGCTCCTGCTTTAGAATTCCATGTGCAGGCCAGGCGAATGTTTTTAATTGATAACAATGGTAAGTTGAGTCAAATGTGACTCAGGTATAAATGGAAACTGTTTTGTTACCTTTAGTTGGTCTTATTACCCTAATAAGAATAATTCTTATTAATGACCAGTTGCATGTGAGATTTGAATAGAATTGAACTTCTCCAAATACGTATTAATTACATTCAACTAAGTAATCTTTAGGTGTTAACCATTGTTTTGAAGATTGTATGTATTAATTCATTTTATCTTACCAACAGTGAAGTACTATAATTGGGAAACAAACTCAGTGAGATTAAGTGCTTTTGTCCAGAGCCAGCACTCAGAGCCAGCCACTCTTGCCCCCAGGTCCCACGCTTTTTACTCTGCTGGGGACCTGTGCCTTGCCTTCTACTAGCCCTCTTCTGGCACCAGGTGGCTATTGTGTGACTGTGGGCAAGTGGTTCGGTTCTAATTGATTACTACAAGAGCTGGATGATTATTTTAAATTTTGCTACTTTCATCCTGCAACCCTTAGAAATTACAGTGCTGTACAGATCTACCTGGATTTATGAAATAGGTGGATCTGAGAGATTGTATACAAATCGAATAGAAAATGAAATTCAAATGAACCAGCATGCCTTTTAAATCCTGCAGTAATCTTTTAAAGCAGGTTGTTCTCTCCAGTATATTTTAAGTAAATCTAGAAAGCAAAAAAGAATCTTAAAAAACATTTAGTCCAGTATTTGTTTTACAGATGAGGAAACAAGAGCTCAGGAGAGGTGCCATGACTTAACCTTTATGAATATTTTCTACCACGTTACCATCCTGAAAAGTGCTTACTTAGCAGGAAGCTAAGGGTATTGCCATGAATTTAAATTTCAAGTTAAGTACAAACTAGAGATCACTTGGTCAATAAATTGGTTATCTAGCCACAGCCTTTCTGAAATTACTGTGCTAACAGCTTGTTTCCGGATATTTGCTTAAAGCTCACTTGCACCACTGAGGCCTCTATTTAACAATAGTGAGCCTTTATCTTGTGATTAAAAATTAACAGGGAAAAAGAAAATTAACAGGAAAAATATCTTTGGATTTTCCATTGTAAGCTAAATTTTACCTTGAAAGTTGCCTTTATCATAATAGAAAGACATATTTGGCTTTGAAGGCAGGAGTGTCAAGACAATGCCATCTCCAGGAGGTTAGATGCAATAGACCTTCGGTAGTCCACAGAGCGTGCAGAGCCCTAGACCTTGGGCTCTTAAAAAAGCACAAAATGGGCAGCCTCAAACCCTCCTTCCTTCCTGTGCCTGTCAGCATGGATCTGTATCTTTTGACATGAGGGCGGGGCCTAACCTCAAGTTCTGACATAGCCTAGAAACTATATAGTTTGTGGTTTGAGGCAGTTTGTTCTACAAATATCCTACTGGTCTCCTAAAAGAAAAGACTTGAGAACTAGGGGGATTAAGAATGATGAAGAGCTTGAGATTTGGTGATTAAATTGTATAAAATTGCATCTTCGCAGAGGTTCAATTTATCTCCCTTCCACCCCCACCCCCACCTCCACCCCTCAAAAAGGCAAACTCAATTCATTTCTGTTATTTGAGAAAACGTGGCCCTCAGAGCTTGGTGTGCAGTTACTATTGAAAGGACAGATGTCAGGATGGTTTTCACATGTCATTTCTTTATAAAGAACAATATTGTTGACAGATATGTCATATTTGTGTGTTCATTCTGCAAGCTAAGAGCCTACTAAGTGCCAGATGTTGCTTTTGACAATGGGCAACACATGTATGCGTTATCGTGGAATCACAAACACATGCTGGGTGGCACAAAGGGGCCGAAAGAGCTGAGGAGAGCTTCTCAGAGAAGGTAACATTTGAGTTAGAGCTAGTGAGTTTTTATTAAATAGTCATCTAGCCTGCATCACAAACGCCAGCTGGGTGTGCCATCTGCTGCCAAGGGGGGACTGGGGAATGACTCTTCCAATGGGTTGGAGCTGCTGAGCCTATCCTGCCAGGTGGCTATATTCATTGTGATCTTTCTTTTTCCAGTTGAGAAACCTGCTAAAGTGGTATGCTAAGGAGTTCAAAGATCCTCTGCTACAGGACCCCCCAACATGGTTTAAGTCTTTCATGTATTGCGAGCTTGTGTTTCAGCTGCCCTTCTTTCCTGTTGCAACATACGCCTTTTTCAAAGGTTGGTAAATGGTGGGGAAATCCCATTTTTGCTCTGAAATCAGGTCCCAGAAATCTTTTGGGAAAGTATCCCCAAGGGAGAGGGTAGTAGTTCCTGTAGTTTGTGTGAGGGTGATCTGGTGGGAATGGCCAGGGTAGCTCCTGTAAACGGACACTAACGTGGCTGACTAAAGTATATGGTGGGCTGGGCTGCATGATGGCCTCAGCCAACTGGAAATCTCTCATATCCATGAAACCTGAGACTACTTAAAGATTGAACTTGTTGCTTTTTATTGGTTTTTTTTTTTTCACTCTCCTCACAGAATTTCTTTTATCATTGGCTTTTATTTTTCTGCTTTAGGTAGTATCATACTGCCTTACATGCAGTGGCATCCCTCAGGCTAATTCCTAAAGGGCTTCTTATTTAAAAACGATTCTTACGATGTCTCTATATGATTAATGCTTTTATAAGAAGGTGGACGTACCAACGTATGTGGCAACTAAGCTTATGCAACCTGTTTCCCACTGGAGCCCTCAAATCCATCTCTTAGCAGAATCTGTTGATCTTAACAGATGCTCTTACTTAACAGATGCTACTGGCAGTCCCCTGCCTTTGAATTTAGACCTAACAGGTTCAACTGGTAATAGCCGTTTTACTGCCCTAGTTTTTCTAAATTCCAACCCCCACCCTTGCTTTTTCAGCTATCATTGTGCTAGGGCCCCAGCTGTCACCTTAGTTTGTTCAGTTAGGAAGTACTATAACATATCTGATTTTCCATTTATTTCCACTTGGAAAAGGAGGTAGAATGATTCAGCTGAAGGAAACAGGCAGAGACAGCATGGAGAATGTCATGGGCATCCCTGGAGTCATGAACAGAACTAATGTTTATCTCTCTCTTCCCAACAACTTCAGGAGGCTGCAAGTGGATCCGCACCCCTGCAATCATCTACTCAGTTCACGTCATGTCACTTGTAATTCCAATTCTCTCCACATTTCTATTTGAGGATTTCTCCGAAGCCAATGGTTTCAAAGGACAAGGACCTAAGACTTTCCACGAACGGCTAACCCTCATATCTTTCTATGCCCCCTACTTTCTCATCCCTCTTATGCTTCTCTTTTTCATGTTGCGGAGCCCCTATTACAAGTATGAGGAGAAAAGAAAGAAAAAATGAGGGAAATAACAATTGGCCTAAGGAGAGATGCCCAGAGGGCAGTTTCCTGTTGGACCCAATACAAAGAAAATTGCTCAGAACCCTTCACATCTTCAGTAGCATTTGAAACACCAGCAGCAACACACAAGAGCAAGGCACTGGCAGAAGCCACATCAAATCATCACCTTCCAAGGGTACTGGCACAAGCAGACCGATCACCGGAGGATGGGCAGAGGGGTACGGCCTGGTTATAGGAAAGTGATGCCAAATACCTCAGTGTGCGCCAAAGTTCCATTGCAGGATTGCTAAACGCAGGACCAGACCAGAAATTGGATAAACTTCCAAGAAGCATGGCCTGCTTGGCATGTTCACGACCTATAGTATACAGGTGACTAAACCCTCATGTCACTCTGTACCATATCGCTAATCTGCAACACGAATAGGGGGATGTTTCAGGCCATTTTTAAGTTTGAAATTATGCCTCTAATCAGTAAAAACTATCATGTTTTCTTGCTCTCACTTCTGGGAGAGGAGGTGGTGAGAAAATATTCTGCAAGAGGTTTAAAGTTAGTTTTCCTTAAGGTTCAGCCCTGGCATGACTTTCAGTCAGAAATGGGTTAAACTGGACGGTGTTTTGTCTATCTTTAAAAGCTTGTCCCAGTAGGATTTTTAAGTTTCTTTGTTTACCCTCTTACAAAACCTTAGTCTTATATATATCTTACAGACCACCTGACAGAAGTCACTTTACTCTGAAGTCTGGTGTCTCACAACTAATCTGGAAGTGTGCTTCCTACTGGATAACTTCGTCCTTCCTAATACTTTAATCAAGCCTTCTCATCTTATTCTTCTGTCAAAGTGGGGGGATAGTGGCCATGACATGTCCAGTGTGTGCATATAGGGTAGTTGGTGTTCCATTAGCTTTCTCTAAATTCATACAGAAGGCCAACTCAAAAACAAAAAAGTCTTGTAAACACTTATAGAAAACAGTAAAAACCACTCCCAGTTAGCTCCTTCTTTTTGACTGTTCTGCTCACAAGCTGTATTACTCTTGTTGGGAGTATCACCTGACTCGTGTCTGGTCCAAATAAAGGTAGCTGCTGACCACTGCCTTGTTTGTTTTGTGGACTTTACAAGGGGTTAAGTGTACACTTTAAGGGTACCAGGAAAAGAGGTAGATAAGCCATTTGAAAACAATAATTTATTGCTTTTTCTTCCAAAGCTTTGTGAATTTACCAAAAAAAAAAAAAAAAAAAAAAAAAAAAAAATGATAGCATCAGCTGCTATAGTATTTTCGCCTGAAAAACACTGGCTTTAACCTTCTGTTTCATATTTACTTCCAAAAAGCAGGGACTTTAGTAGTTTACAGACTGCTCAGTTCAGACTAAGAATGCAATAACCTGGGCCACTAGTCACTGGGTGCTCACCAGATATGCGCTGACATCTGAAACAAGCCCCTCCAGATTTTGTTTTATTGCCTTCAGAGATGGTATATTCCTTATACAACATCTCACATGACATACTTGGGTCATTAGTCACTAGAATGGTACAGAGGTTTTTTTGTTTTGTTTTTTGGGGTTTTGGTTTTTTTTGTCCTATAAAATTTTCAGTTCATTTCTGAAAAATAAATTGGTCAATAAATTCATTTTGTTCTGCTTCTACTTTACACAAAGCTTCATATTCAACCCGATACCTGAAAAACAAAATTGTTAGAAGCCCTAAAAATGGATGAAATAAACCATGGATTTAATTCTTCTAGAGAAGAACACAGGTGGTTTAAAAGAAATTGAGTTCAGAATGAAGTTAGGGCAAGAAAGAGAAAAAAGTAGGCGCAAAGCCCAGCCTAAAGCCACCCATGAGAAATCTCCAGCCCTGAGATGGTCTTTTCCTTTCAGAGAGCCAGCCAGCCCACTTTGTGGACACTTGCTACCTGAGTTTTCATGCTTTCAAACTACTACATGTGATTTAATATTAACAATTTTTCTATTTCCTTCCCATCAAATTAATTTTACTTTATTTTTAAAATCTTCAAATTCAGATGACAAGTGAGAAACTATTCCTGGGAGAACGATGATGAAGAATCAGAGGTGACCATTAAGGAAAAATAGAATAGCAGAGTAAAGAACTCGCTTTACGTTACTTCTTACCTTTCGAGCTGCATTTTCTTTTCTGCTATTAGTGCTTGGAGTTGCTGTTGTTGGGCTTCTCTCTGCTTTGCTATAGATTTGAGCAAGTTCCGAGCACCAATGGCCTAGAAAAACACAGTATTGCCAAAAAAAGTCATGGCTTCATTAAAACTCTTCGACATTAAGTCTACAACTGGGTAAGGGTCATTTGGGGGCCATCTCGCTGCCCAACGGGAAAAAGAAGGTTGAGCCCCAGAGCTTTGGGAATAAGGAGGATTATTCTCATGATCCTAAAGTGCCTGATGAAAATTAGACTGCCTGCAGCTCTGAGGCAGATCTAGGAGTATCGCCACAATCTGGTGCACAGGTATTCAGGGGCCCGTCTGGTGTACCACTCAGCCTTGTGTCCTTTGCCAAGTCATCTTATACCTTGCCCTTACATCTCAGTGATGATGTAAATATTAAAAGAAATAATGACTGAAAGTATTGGCATATAAGCTCAACAGTAGGTTAATTGGACCAGGACTTGTTTTTTTTTAATTGAGGTATCAGTGACATAAAACGTTTCAGGTATACAACATAACGAGTCAATACTTGTATAGAAAATGTTATTTAAAATCTTGTTGTAATTAAATGAAAGAATCTCCCCATGCCTAAAGAAAAAGTCAAGACAGCAGAAGGACGAGAGGCTAGTGAACCAGGGTCCTAGGCCAAGATTTAGACAAAACACATGCTGATCTTACTTTCATCTTCTCATTTTCTGCTTCTTTTGCAAGCTGGTCAACAAGCTCAATTAAACCACCAACTATTTTCTGAAACTGGCCGATTTCTTTTGGAGAAAGAAAAAGGAAATGTTTTTATTTTCTCAGTGTCATCGCTCACCCCCAGCATTCCCTTGTAGCGAGCGGGCAGGACTAACTGGCCCTTCTAATTTGTGTCAGAACAATTTGGTACCTGCTGGCCTAAAGTCTGTCAACGTTGGGCTGAACCTAGAGACAGGTGGCTAGGTGCCCGGAGCTAGACTCGGGCACAGCTGGACCTTGTGTCCCCACAGAGCCAGCCAGTTGCTGTGACCTCAAGCTATGAAGGTTCCTGATGGGCCCATTCTGTGGATGAATGCCATCCTACTTTCTCAGGAGTGACAGGAAGCACAAAGGGCTATATTCATAAAAAGACCACCTCAGGACAAAATTGCTGCGTCTTGACTAGCCATAGTTAAGACACTAGACTTCAGTTAATGGTGAGGTGCAGGCTTTCCACCTGCGACCAGAGCTAATAAAGAGCTCAAAGCATTTAAGTGCCTAATCTCCCACTCCATTTTTCTCAGTATCCTCGGGTGTGATGGAACCTCATTCTATCAAGGAGTAAATTAAAGCACAGAGCGATGGGACAACATTCACACAGCAATCCCCAGGCAAGCTCTCTCCACAGCCCATGGTCCCCAGAAGGTTCAGAAATCCCTGTGGGAGCTAGATCTGCTCTATACTCACTACCACTGGGCTTGCTTGGCTGCTGGGACAGGTGGCATCCTGGAAATCTCTAGTTAAAAAATTATTTCAGGGAGTTTGCTGAGTTGCTTCTACAGACTCCAGTTGATCAACTTTCATTCCCAATAATGGCAAGCCTACCACTGAGAACACTACTTCTCCCAAGAAATCAAAACATCTGTACCTAACTATTTCTCACTCCCAAGCCATAGTTCTGTCCCCATGAAGTTTAAGGTTTCTGAGAGTAAAAAAATCAAGGATGGCATATCTCAAAAAACACCCTCCTCTCTGCATTCCAGTGTCTGTTTTGATTGGTGCTCCATGTGGGGACTACATGAGAACATAAGAAGAGGGGAGGCAGACAAGGTGGGTGGCACATAGGCATTCAAAAAGGCCAGGCTCAACATCCAGGGAGCCAGCAGTTCCATTCTGGCAGGGCCAGGAGCAACAGTCGGTAGGTGGGTGTGGGGCACAGTGGGACTAGCTCAAAGCTGAGTGGCAATATATCTCCCCAAATGACACTCACTGTCCACAAATTCCTTGCACTCTTCCTTGAGCTCTATGGTCTGCTGCGTAACTTCTGGGTCCAACACTCGCAGCTTGTTCAGTTCATCAAAGTGCAGCCCTGCTTCACCCAGTATGTCCTTGGCCATACCTGTAAAGAAACAAGCTCCAATCCCTGATCACTTCCCAGCCAGCCAAGGAAATGCCTGCTTTCAGCCCAGCCCTACTCCTGCCCACAGACACCAGTGCCCAAAACCCAGATGTTCCAAAAGCTCCCCCTTCCCTCTGCCTCCATCTCTCTAAGCCTCACCTGTTTCCCTTCTGGCTTCCCTAGAGAAGAGAAGATCTGCACTGAAGGAATGATAGTGGCAGCCAGGAGTTGTGTCACAGGAGCAAGGGTCAGGAAAGAATAAAGTCCAGTTGCTTGTCATAGGCATCGTTCATTCAACACATATTTCTTGAGTGTCTACTACGTGCCAACACTGTTAGATGCTGGGGGTACAAAGATGAGTACAACATGGTGCCCGCCCTGGAGGAGCACACAGTTTAGCTGGAGGAAGACAGACACGTAAACTGAAAAATTATACCATGATAAGTGCTTTTACAGAAATGTTACTGAAGTGCTGAAGGAAACAGAGCAGTTAATTTGGGGTGAAGGGGCTGACATTTGAACTAAGTTGTCAGCCATAAACATGTTTATTTATCCCCAGTTATATAACCAAAAGGACATGAAAAAGCTTTTCAAATACAGTACTGGAATAACACAAAAGACAAGTGAAAGAGAAAATCTGAGTGAATTAACAATTAGGGTTAAAAAAATAAGAAGCCAGGAGTAAGAATATTACCCAAAATGTATTCCACGGGATACTGTACACTTGCCTGAACTGGGAACCAAAGTTGGGTCAGTCTCTTTCTAACAGAAACACAAAAAGGAATAAAGTATCAGCAACTACGTACCAAGTAATGAAGTCAGGGAAAGGCATTCCAAGCAGAGAAGACAGCATGAACAAGAGCCTGAAGTCACTGAAAAGGCCTATCCTGCCTAGAAAATGAAAGGACAGGATGGAGCTGGAAAAGTCGGATGGAGCCACATCAGAAAGACCCTGTGTGCCAAGCTAGTTTAGGGTTTTTCTGTAGGCAAGAGAACCAGGAGAGAGATTTTGTCCCTTCCCAGGTCACCTTGCATTCCCAGTCCACAGGATGTCTCATTCTGGGGAGGAAACACTGAAAACTCGCCCTCATTCTGGCTTAGAAATAACGACACAAAAAATAGAGACCACATGCCCTGTCTAGAAATGGAGGCAACGCTACTCAGGTCTGGCCATTGGCTGATATACAAATTCCAAAACCCCAGGTGTTCCAAAGATTGTCACCACCTGGCCCTACACCAGCCCTTCTCTCTGGTCTCACCTAACCCAGCCTCACCTGTTCCCCCTTCCAGCTTCCTTAGAGTTCTAATCTGAATGGGGTGATTCTGGGAGTGACTGCCCAGAGCACATATACCATATGACGACTGATGGTTAAAAAATAATTAAGTCCTACCATTGCCAGAACTGACTTTCGAGAGGACCAGAAATCTAGGTTTATATATGGAATCTGATTTTTAAAGGGAAATATCTAATTTGAAAAATTTAAAGGAAAAAAACACATCCAATACTGTGTGGGCCAACTAATGCATGTCCATAGGCTGTCTGTATACAACTGTGGCCGAGAGCCCTTGGTCTAACTGGCATCCACTGAAGTGGGCTAGCATCTTCCTTTTGAAACATTTTAATCATCCAGCGCTTCCTAATAATTGGGCTTTTTAAAAAAGATTTATCTTCTAACTTGTTATATTTATACACATAGTCTGAGCATTTAACACCTACTGGGTGATTAATCAGACCATTGCTCTAGAAAGCTTCAAGTAACCCTAAGGAGCAAACGTCTGCTTCAACTCCCACTCCCTTCCCTGAGAGCATGTATTTATTCAAAAACATCTACTGAGTCCTTGCTCTCATCATATAGTGAAGAAATGCTTTAATGCTTTAGTTCCTGACATCTTGACAGACAGTAAACAATCACAAGCTGTGGTAATAATATGAAGAAAAGCATGTGGTGTTAGATGAAGCTCCAGTAGGACATAATTCTCATGGGGGCAGTGTTGTCAACAAAAGCCTTCTGAAAAAGTGACAATCAAGCTGAAACCTAAAAGATGTCCAAAAGTTTGTCAAGCGAAGCAGAGAGGAGGCATTCCAGGCAGAAAGAAAAGCACATGTGAAGATCCTGAGGCTATAAGAAATCTAACGCATTCCAAGAACTGAAAGGCTAATGTGGTTGAAACACAGCAAGGGGAAGCACAGAACAGGGTAAGGCTAGACTGGGAGGCTAGAGCTGCATCATAGAGGGCTCCGAAAACCCTCCTGGATTTCATAAGAGGGGTAATGGGCAGCCAGTGTTTTCTCAACAGTGTCATAATCAGATCTGCCTTTTGGAGAGATCACTCTGACCCAGAACGAAGAATGGATTGGAGGGAACAAGAGAGTGGAGCTACAGCTATCTTGTTCATCAATGTAACCCTACCATCTTGCATGAGCCTACACATAGCTGGCACTCAGTAATTGTTTGTGGCATGAATGACTGAAAACAGAGAAGGCTGTTACAGAAACCAAGGCTTAGAGCTGAAGAAGTGTTCCAACGTGAGATGTTTTATAAGTCGAATTGTTAGGACTTACTAAAGGATTGACTGAATGGAGGGGTCTGGGATGGGTGAAGGAAAGACTCAGACAAGATTCCCATGTTTCTAGCTTGAGACAACTAACTGTATGGCTGGAAGGAGTAGCTGAATGAGATGGGTAAGACTAAAGGAGTGGAGAGGGTTCACAGCCGACTATCAGATTCTCTCTCAACTCCCACCACACGCAAATATCTGATCATTTGAGAAACACGGGGCACAAAAGCCAGACTGAGCTCCCTGGAGATGAAAGCGGTGACACTCTCTCCGCCCCTGGCTCTCCCAGATCCATTCTAGGCACTAGGAGCAAGCTCCATCCATGGGTGTGGGGAAAAGGGACTGGGCAGAAAGTTAGGAAGATCTGGGTGATGGAGCTGGCTGTCTTCACTACGTAAACTTCTTGATCTGATCTGCACTTTGCTCATAAGACCGTCGCAAGCATCAACGCGTAAAGCTCCAGGCCCAAGGGTGTAAAACTGCTCCCAAAAGTCGGGCGGAATTCCTACGTTTCTTTCGACCTGGGACTGCCTTTCCTCAGGGCGTGGGCCTGTCGGGTTCGTCTCATCCCAGGTCCGCCCGCGTCCCCCGACCCGGAGTCACCGCCTACCTGCCGACCGCGTAGCGGCGGCGCGCTGTGGCCCAGGCCGATGTCTGCAGAAAGCTTCTTTCTACGGCCCGTGGCAGCAGTACCTATCCCGCCCTCCTTAGCCGCTGCCACGGCTACAGAAGCTGTTTATACATAACGTCACTACCTGACTCCGGAAGCACTTACACTCACTTAGCCCGCAGACCCTGCTGGGAAACAGAGGCCGGAGAAGAGGGAAGGCTGCCTACAAGATCCAGAGGCCTTTGCACCGAAAAGGGTGCCGGAAGTAGCTATGTGTTTACCGCGGAATACTCTCAGGGGTTCTTCCCTCTCCCCTGATTGGGTGATGGGTATGTCCGGCCTTAAAGTCTCAGGCTCTTGGGCCGGACCCGCTGGGCGGCAACTTGACGCGGAGCCCACGGTGGGAGGATGTGAGCTCACAGCCCGGGATTACTGGCGGGCAGGCGGCCTCATCCTAGGGGCGCACGGTTTCGGCTTGCAAGCCAGCAGAGAGGAGAGGCGCCCCGGCGACGGTGAGAACCGGGTCTGCCGATGCCTTAAGGAAAGGGATGGATGGGCCCCGAGCTGGAGCAAAGAGCCCCGCCTGGACCTGGGGGAAAGACGTGGGACGGAGTAGGAGAGATGGAGAGCTCAAATTTCCCCACTGGGTGGGTGGGTGGGTGAGTGGGTGTGTGTGTGTCTAACCTGTCTCGGTTTCTCGGTGGCAAGAAGTAGGGGCTGGGGAAGACTCTACACTGGCCACCGAGAGGTTAGGTCCGCCCTAAATTTCTCCAGACTCTTTGGATGAAGCCTAAGATTTTTATACCTAGGATTTCTGCTAGACTAGCACTCTCTAAACAAGATAGGCTCTCTCCCCACTCCGCATTCCCCGTGTGTGACGGATTTCTGGGTCTTCCTTTAGGACCCCAGCGCCTTCCACAGCCGTGGTTGTTTGCGCTTTATTCTACTGGGGTTCCCCTGAGCTTCGCTGAGTGAGACACGGATACGCCCCTAGCTTCTGGCATCCCCAAATACCCACACACCAAGTCCGGAAGGAAAAGCACTGAGGCCACCAGTGGAAACTTCATTCTCACTGGAATTACTTTCTCGGGCGTCACCTGCCAGAGAATTCCTGGAACCCATTGATCTGGGAAGAATCTGAGCTAACGTCATCATAGTAATTGCTTTGGAGGAAAGGACTAGATTAGCTCTGGATTTGTCTTCCTCTGTTGGCAACCGCCTAGCCTTTGAGTTTCTTTGCTTTGGCAGAATATGTATGTGTGCTTTCTGTGATCCTAGGGGGACAAAGGCTAGATATAAAATACATAGGAACTTGTTAAAACCTGTTAAAGGATGGATTTATTGCTTTGGGGTGGGCTGGGGAAGGCAAAGTGATCTTATTCTAGTGTTATTTATTGATTGGGCAGTATTCTTGTGAGGGTTCTTTCCATCCTTGAGGCAAATGAGATTCTCCTGAACAAGCCGTCAAAGGAATTCAGTACTTCGCACTGCACTTGTTCTGGTCCTTCCTTGGACATTCTTCCCAGGGACCTACCTAAATCTTTTCAGGGACAATTTCAGTATAACAAACCGACATATATTAAATACTTTAAATTGTGTGTGGCATTGTGCCAAGCACTGTTTGGAGAATGGAGCGGTAAACTTAGGAAAACCAGCGCACTGCTTTTAGGTTGCACTCACAAGAAATGATAGCACCTGTAAATTTCTGCATGTTTTGATGACTAAATGATGTAATTCCACTTTTTTTCTTTCCCATTATCATCTCTGTAGTCCAGGCCTTCACCATCTCTTGCCTAGACTACTGCTTCTTCTGGTCTTCCCACTTGCTCTTTTACAGTCCATTCTGCACAGCAGTCAGAGTGATCTTTTTAAAATGTTAAGAACTCAAATCATATCATTCCCCTACCTGAAACTCTCCAACTGATTCCCGCTGCAATTGGTATAAAATTCAAACTCTTTAATATGATCGTTCCTGCCTTCCCTGACTTTACATCAGGCCACCTTCCCCCTTCTTTCTATGCACCAGCCATCTTGGACTTATTTCTGTTGCTAAAATGTGCATCTGACTGAGGGACTTGACACTTACCTTTCCTTACTCTTTCAGACCTCAGCTGGAATGTCACCTTCCCAAAGAGGCTTTCCCTGGCCCCCTATCTAGATCAGTGCCTCTTGTCACTTTCTTATTGCTGTTTTATTATTTTTATTGCGTTTCTCACTTTTGGAATTACCTGCTTATTTGTCGTTGTTCGTGTCCGCCAACTAGGATGTAGACTCCATGAGGTTGTGCTTTGTTATCTTCTGTATCCCCAATGCCTGGCACATAGCAGGGGCACAGTAAATGCCAACTCTTAAACTATTTTTATTCTTGTTAACATTGTGATGCTTCTTTGAACTCCTTGAAGGCAAGGACAGTATCTAATCTCTCTATCCCTACTGTTTAACATAGTAGGCACTTACTGTCGTTTTATTACTGAATGAAGTAGATGAGCTAATAAATATTAAATGTCTAGAATAGTACCCGGAACATAGTAAACATGCAATGAATGTTTGCTGTTATTTTTTGCTACCATGAATGAATTTTAGTGATTCTTTAGAAAACCAAAACATATAATATAGGATCTAAATCATAAGAGATGACCTGGCTTTGCCCTCCTTTGCTTTCCTTGCTCCTCCCTCCCATGAACTCCTAAACCACTTAATTGTTTTTAGATTTATCATCTGGTCTTTTCCAGCCCATTCTCTCCATTCTTGTTGGGAAGGAAAAGAGGAAGAGATTGGGCTGGGCCCCATCTCAGGAAAGGAAACAAAAATAGTCATCCTGTAGTTGTTCTATACTGAAAAATGGTGACAATTTCAGGAACTTGGAACAGGGCTGGTGCCAAGAAAGGGGTAGGTCTGGAAACTGGCTGAAGCTAGGTCACTTTTGTCAGGAACACCGATCACTCCTTCCAGCCTGGCTTATTCCATGCTCTACTTAAGCTGCTTTTACTTGCTTTCCCAAAGCCAGATTCCGGGTGATATTCAAAGTAAGCATGGTGCAGGCTGCTCCTGAGCCTGGAATCTTTAGAAAGGAAGTGCATCATGTCCTTTGGGCTCCTGGGAAACTCCTTGGCTGGCTGGACTCCCAGTAGATTTGGCTGGAAGTCTTGGATCCTGGGAACCTTGAGAAGGAAATAGCTGGAATCCGACTGTTGGATCCCCAGGGTGAGGACGTCTGCTCTCCTCACTCTGTTCTTCTGATTGGCTCCAAGGGTTTACTTGTCTTACTTGCCACCCAGAGCTGAGTCTGGTGAGGTGACCAGCTCTTGGCTCTGGGAGCATAGTCTCCTGGTACCATAAAGAAAAGCAGGAGCATCTTTCTTACCATTGCCTAGGGCCTTAGCCTATGCCAGAGAATCTTGGGCTTATCTAGGAGAGATTGACTTGATGGTCAGTGTTTCTCCTGACCCCTCCTAAGGGCTCTCTGCCGCTGACTCCTGTCTTCTCTCCCATATCCTGTTCACAGCGCTGAGAATATGAGGCTCTGGCCTCCACTGGCCACTCTCTTGTGACCCTTCCACCACGGCGGAGCCTTCCAAGCCAACCTCCTGCCGTGTGGTGATCTACCTGCAGCGGGAGATGTCAGGGGATACCTGTCTGTGCCCAGCCTCAGGGGCCAAGCCCAAGCTAAGCGGCTTCAAGGGAGGAAGCCTGGGCAACAAATACGTCCAGCTCAATGTGGGTGGTTCCCTGTACTATACCACTGTGCGGGCACTAACCAGGCATGACACCATGCTCAAGGCCATGTTCAGCGGGCGCATGGAGGTGCTGACCGACAAAGAAGGTGAGGTATCAGGGTTTGTTGGGCAGGGTGGTGAGGGAAGGAGTTGTTCCTGGGGAAGTGGCTTCGGGGCAGGGCTTAAGCCTGGTAGAGTTCACTTTTCCAGGTTACCTAGAACAGGACTCCACCTGGAGTCCTTAGTAGAGCTTCAGAATTCTTTGAAACTGTACATAGTATGTTGTGTGTTTATGCATTTTCCAGGGAGGCAATCCATACTTTTTATTCACAAGGGACTAGATTCTCATAAGAAGCATCACCATTGTGGCTAGGCAGTGGACAGAAAGCCAGCAGGGCCTTGTGATCTCTGTGTTGTCAAGACATGGGCCTGAGTACTCCTGAGCTTAGACCTCTGTAGGCCTCCACCGAGCCTCGAGGGCCTGTCTTTCCCATGATATGTGCCAATTCTTGGTTTCAAGGAAGAGGGCTGAAGAGCAGCCATGGACCAAGGAGCTAGAGATTTTCTTCCCACTTCTGTTATCCTGTGCTGTGGGCTCTATGCTCATGTGCTCTTTGCCACCTATCACTAGACTTGTCAGGTGGCCTTTGCTGCTGCCTGCTTCTGAGGTACCTGGAGGCAAAGAGTAACCTCTGGGGCCCATCTGAATCCCTAGGCTGGATCCTCATAGACCGATGTGGAAAGCACTTTGGCACCATTTTGAATTACCTCCGTGACGACACTATCATCCTCCCTCAAAACCGGCAAGAAATCAAGGAACTGATGGCTGAAGCGAAATATTACCTCATTCAGGGGCTGGTGAATATGTGCCAGACTGCCCTGCAGGTACGGAGGCAGAGTTGGGGCCAGTTGATGAGGTTTTGGAGTTGGCCCCCTCCTTCAGGGACATAAGGGTCCAGTTCCTGAAAGGCTGTGTGGCGGGTATGGTTGATGAGTCCAAACCTAGGTAGATACACCAGGTATTGTGCAGGCCAAGTCAGTTTGTAAGGTGACAAACTCAGGCACTATGCATGGGCCCTGCTTCTAGTTTATAGTCTAGATATCTGGAAATGGCAGTCTGCTTGCCAGCTGGCAGTTTCTATTACCAGGGGCCTCCTGATCTCTGACGGATGCCACCTCAACAAGCAGGGGATGGCCATGGCAGAGGGGCTCTGAGAGCTCCTGGGGAAAGCCTGGCTAAGCCTGCAAACAGGAGATCTCAAAAAAGATTCTTAGCTGTGTGTGTCACCTAGGACAAGAAGGACTCCTACCAGCCTGTGTGTAACATCCCCATTATCACATCCCTGAAGGAGGAGGAGAGGCTCATTGAATCTTCTACCAAGGTACTGGGATCTCTGAGGGACCTCTGAGGGCTATGGGCAGGGGATGCCAGGGCCTGGGCCCAGCCCTCACACTCTCCTCCCTCACAGCCCGTGGTGAAGCTGCTGTACAATAGAAGCAACAACAAGTATTCCTACACCAGGTAGGGTAGGACTTGGTGGGGCAGGGTGAGGGGTGCTGGGGAAGGGCTGCAGAAGCAGCTAAAAGGGCCAAGCAGCCAGAGTTGAAGTTGGGCAGCAGACCCAAGGGAAGCCACCTGCAAGCCTGGCATAGTTGGCATGAGTCTGGGTCTTAGGAGGGAAGAACACAGAGTAGAAGGGAAATCAGGGCAGAGGTATTTGGAACTTGGTGCAGGGCCCTGGATGAGATATAGACAAGACCAAACATGTAACACCCTTTTAACATGTGTCACGTTGGGCAGTGTGCCAGGTGTTTTCCTAGCATTATCTTACAAGGTAGAAGAGGGATGCTGGGAAGCCAAAGAGCTGGGACTCCTAAGCCAGCCTTTGCACTGGGCCAGTTTCCCCCTTGCCCCCAGTGTCTTCTCAACAGCCCACAATTAGGTCTGTGCAGGAGGCTGCAGGCTCAGAGTCTCTATGGACAAACACATTGCTAGTGTCATCCCTACAGCAAGGGAAAGAATCCTGCTGAGACAGCAGCGAGCCTCCTTCCTTCGGGGCCCTTAGTTCTCTCTGCTTTAATTTAAAACCAACCCAGCTCCTTTTCCTCGCAGGCCCCCAAACCTGGATGGTGCCCCGTGACCCTTTGTCTTACTGTCCACTCTGGCATCTTGATTTTTCCTTACTTCAGCATGACAGGGGAAGGGTGGGGAGAACCGAGCTAGTACCTTCTATGTGCTGGAACCTCATTCCCAAGCTTACTGGCCCTCATGGGTTTTTCAGCAACTCCGATGACCACCTACTGAAAAACATCGAGCTGTTTGACAAGCTCTCCCTGCGCTTTAATGGCCGTGTGCTCTTCATCAAGGACGTCATTGGCGATGAGATCTGCTGCTGGTCCTTCTATGGCCAGGGTCGTAAGCTGGCGGAGGTGTGCTGCACCTCCATTGTGTATGCCACGGAGAAGAAGCAGACCAAGGTATGGGGGGCTTCCTTCCCTCTGCATAGGTCAGGGCAGGACACACACCAGTGCAGCCCCAACTGAGCCTTCTCCACAGGGAGCAAAAGGGGCATCCATTTTGCTCTGTTTTTCCCAAACTCATGATTGTGCTGTGCAAGGATAAAAGCCAGTACAAGGGGCTCAGGGAATGGCACAGGAACTGTTCGTTCCGATCAGGTGAGAGGTAAGGGCTGTTGGGAAGGGAACGGCCAGCTGGTGCAGTAGGAAGGACCAGGTCTTTGGAGTTGGCCCAATTCAGGTTTGAATTCGGGTCCCTCTATTTACCAGTGTTCAGACTTTGGATAAGCCATTTAAACCATTTGGGCCTCAGTTTCCTCATTTTCAAACAAAGGAATGAGAGTGCAGATTGAAGAGCTATGATGAAAATGAAACAATTCTTAAGAGAAGCAGTGCAATATAATGGAAATAGCTGTTCAGATTTCTTCTCTGGCCCCTGCTAGTTGGGTGTTCCTGGTCAATCAGTTTAGCTTCTACAGTAACAGCATGGTGCCAGGCACCTGTGAAGGATTTGTTAGGTGATAGTTAACATAAACTCAGCTAAGCCTGCTCTCCCAGGCTGTAAGCAGCCAGTATCCTCCCCGCAGAGTAGCTGCCGCCCACGAGTGTGTGTTTTCCAGAGACAGCAGGGTTTTACTGGAGTAGAAGGGCAGCTCATCTGGGGGAGTCATGTGTGTATGAAGGGCTCAAAGCAGCCAAGCTCGTGGAGCACCCTCTTGGCCCCCAGACCACTGAAGAGCCTACAGCTGGGCAGTCTGAGGGTTAGGGAAGGACAGCTTACAGGAGGTGACCCTGCTTCCTCCTGTCATTCTGGGGGGTGCACAAATCAGTGGAGTTGGGATTCAGGGGCCAGTTTCTGTGGGGGGCTGGTTACGCTGTGGAGGTGGCAGCAGCACCTGTCACCTTAAGTGCTTTTTCTTTGATGAACTTTTTGACTCCTCACACCACACCTGTGAGACAGGCATGCCTAGAGCCATTCTCCTCATTTAACAGATGAGGGAACAGAAAGTCAAGATGACACAGCGAGTTAGGCTAGGATTCAGGTGTCTTGAATGCCGTCCCTTTTATCTTTCAATTAATGTTCACAACAACTCTCTGAAATAGATATTAACCATGATTTTACACATGTGGGGACTGAAGCACAGCAAGGTTAAGCTCAAGGGCCCATGGCCATTAAATACTGGAACTGTATTTGTATCTAGGCCTAACCACAAAGCCAAGGCCCTAACCTCTACACATACTCATCCAGAAGGGGCTGGAGAGGGTGCTCGTCTGCATCCTTCTGTGCATAGAGTACATCTCACACTTTCAGAGGGAAACTTGCCCACGCTCACGAGAAAGCAAGCCGTCTGTCTCGTGACAGAGTTCAGGATGCCTTGTGGAGCCAGCACAGGGCCAGGGTCCTTTTCCGGGATGAAAACTTGTTCGGTCAGTCCTCTTGTCCCCCCTCACCTCAGGTGGAATTCCCAGAGGCCCGAATCTATGAGGAGACGCTCAACGTCCTACTCTACGAGACCCCCCGAGTCCCTGACAACTCCTTGTTGGAGGCCACAAGTCGTAGCCGCAGCCAGGCTTCCCCCAGTGAAGACGAGGAGTCCTTTGAACTGCGGGACCGTGTCCGCCGCATCCATGTCAAGCGCTATAGCACTTACGATGACCGGCAGCTCGGCCACCAGTCTGCCCATCGCGACTGACAAGACCTTCAGGAAGGCAGGGCACAGGACACCTTGTCTCCCCTCCAGAGGAATCCTGCCCCATTGGCCACCCCACACTGCTGCTGGCTGGGTCTCTGCTCCAGCACCCAGAGGCATGACAGGCCCTGCCTGGGAGGTCAGAGGGCCTGAGCAGACGAGGGGCCACATTCCTTTGCTCTGCTGCCTGAGCACTTCAAGATGGCCCCTTTGCTCAGCATCTCCCTCCCTGTCTGACAGAGCCACTTCTGTCCCTGGGGTGAGTGGACTGACCTGTCCACCTCTTAAGAGCATTCCCCTGGGCCCTTTGCTGAAGGGCTACTTTTAGGCCTCAGCTGATGCCCGTGGAGAATGGGTTCATTCTGTGGAGAAGGTGGCTGCTGGTGCTATGGAGGCCATTTCTTAGAAGGTGGGGCTCCTTTTTTTCCTGTGTTTAAGCACAGGCTTGATGAGTTTGGTTTTTTAAAAATAATATAGGATATGAAGTGACAGGTCTAATAAGGGAACTTGGTATTTCTGCTACCCCTCCAGGGTGCCAAGACCCTGGGTAAGGCAGAATCCTGGGTCCTTCTCAATGCCTTTGGGATCTATTTCTTTAAAGCACTTTGTACTTTTGTTCAGATTTGTATTCTTCCCTGACCCATGCTGTCTTTTTCTGACCCCAATCCCCTCTTCCCTGCAGAATCAATCTGAGGAAGGGGATAGAAGCAGCAATAAAAACACTGACCAGCTTTGGCTTTGCCAGGCTGGCTAAGCAGTCAGCCCAGAGAGCATTGAGGAGAGAGGGATGTAGAAGTTGGGACCCATGGTCCTGATAACACCCCTGTGGGAAAGGACATTTTATCGCAATATCTTAGAATCACATAACTGACTCTTAGGGTCTAGCATGATTGCTCTTTTTGACTCCCTTCCCCAAGGCATGCTGTCCTTACTATAAAGCCAAAGAGCCATTTTAAGGGCCAGGAACATGAGCCACAGCAGGAAGGTTACAGGGCCTGTGGGGAGTGAGTGCAGTCCTGCATTTCTGGCAGCCCTGTGAAGAGGTGGCATGTGCTTGGCCATATACTTCCTCCTCCCCCCACCTATGTTATTGGTTTTCTGTCCTGGCTGGGGATGGTAGTTCTGCCCAGTGGTGAGTGTGAACACAGGATGATGTGAGCAGCCCAAGCCCCTTGAAAGCTTCCTTCATTTTTTTCTTGTTGGGTAACTTGGCCATGGAGATGCCAAGCACCACCACTTAGGCAAAGGTGTGAGTTCCTCTGCAGGGCTTTGGTTTTCATTCCCTTCTGTTTCACTTGGCCCTTGGGAGGCTGCTTATCCA